TTTGCACTCCGAGGCGTACATCACATGCCTCCCATAACGAAGCTGAACGTCATGGGAGAAGCCTCCACATGGATGAACCATCCACCATGTGGGGAAACGTGGGCTCTTCGGAGAAGAGGATCAGATCCCAAAAGAGATTACCTCACTGGCTCTCCGAGGCGTACATCACATGCCTCCCTTTGACGAAGCTGAACGTCAAGGGAGAAGCCTTTACATGGATGAACCATCCACCATGTAAGGAAGCGTGGGCACTTCAGAGGAGAGGATCAGGCCCCCAAAGGGACCACCTCATTTGCACTCCGAGGCGTACATCACATGCCTCCCATAACGAAGCTGAACGTCATGGGAGAAGCCTCCACATGGATGAAGCATCCACCATGTGGGGAAGCGTGGGCACTTCGGAGGAGAAGATCATGCCCCCAAAGGGACTACCTCGTTTGCACTCCGAGGCGTACCATCACATGCCTCCCTTTGACGAAGCTGTACGTCAAGGGAGAAGCCTTTATATGGATGAATCATCCACCATGTAAGGAAGCGTGGGCACTTCAGAGGAGAGGATCAGATCCCCAAAGGGACCACCTTGTTTGTACTCCGAGAAGTACATCACATGCCTCCCTTTGACGAAACTGAACGTCAAGGGAGAAGTATTTACATGGATGAACCATCCACTATGTAAGGAAGTGTGAACACTTTAGAAGAGAGGATCCCCAAAGGGACCATCTCGTTTGCACTCCGAGGCGTACATTACGTGCCTCCCTTTGACGAAATTGAACGTCATGGGAGAAGCCCCTGCATGGATGTACCAAACTCCATGCAGGGACGTTCATAAAAAAATTTAAAAAATAAAACAAGTCAAAGAGCTTCAACACAGAAGGACTTCAGCTTCCTTCATTAAAAATTCAGCTATCATCAAAAGTAAAGGAGCCTCGGCACTTCAGTAATTCACTGCCTCCGCTCTAAAAACAAATTCAGCTATCATCAAAGGTAAAGGAGCCTTGGCACTACAGTAATTCACTGCCTCCGCTCCAAAAACAAATTCAGCTATCTTCAAATTAAAGGAGTCTCGTCAGATCCGAGGTGAGTCAGTATGCACAATATAAAAAATCATACATGGACTTGGGGGACTACTATGTGGATCAAAATTTTTAAAGCTTTTTGTGATACCCAAGGAGGGTACTTCATTGACTGCTAAAAGTCCACGTATAATATAAAAAATCATACATGGACTTGAGGGACTATTATGTGGATCAGCAATTTTAAAGCTTTTTGTGATACCCAATGAGGGTACTTCGTTGACTACTAAAAGTCCACGCATAACATAAATAATCATATATGGACTTGGGGGACTATTGTTACGACTTGCTACTAGCATGGTCGATGCCCAAAACATATCCGAGGCTCATTGGCCGAGGCCCAACATATAACCGAGGCTCAAGAAGAAGCCGAGGCTTATGATGAAACCGAAGCTCATGAAGAAGTCGGGCTCAAGAAGAAGCTGAGGCTCAGGAAGAAGCCGAGGCTCTGTGTAAGTGGCCGAAGCCCACATCATCGAAACAGTAGCCTCCTAACCATAAAAGAGCATCTTCCATATTCACTTTTCCCAAGAGATCTTCTACATAAAGATCTTATTTGGAATGATTGATGAGACCTTAGTAATAAGTGTGTCTGTGTCTTGTCTTATCATTGTAAGAGCATTTAATGCTTTGTAAGGCTAGGAGAGTCAATTTGATAGTTAGGACTTGATATCTTGGCCGAGGAGATGAGGCCACGTGTAAATTGATCCAAAGGTCACCATTTCATTTGTAATACTATAAATACCTCCACTATGTAACACAAGAAAGGATGATGAAATTCTAAATACTTGGAGCAATATTATTCTCTCGTTTATCAGCATATTTCTACTACAAATCTTGTTCTTTTTCGATTGGTTTCTTATGCAATCGTGTTCTGTTTATCTTGTCGGAGGTCCGAACGGAGACGTTTCGTATCGTTGAGCTCCTCCCACGTTCAGATTATGGAACCATCCTGATCGTCGATCGACATTAACGTATTGGATTAAGGTTACGTGTACACGAGTGAGCCCGGCATCTGTTGGCAACATTTTTTGGGGTCAACAAAATGTAATAATTTTGAGATTCAAAAGAAAAAATTTGAAAGAGAATTAGAACTCGATTTTAACAACTTGCTAGAACCAGTTAGACTTTAATTAGGATCGGCTAGTTTGGTCCTATTATGATGCAATATGGATGGGTTTTGATAAAAATTCCTACCTCTACAATGTACTAATTTAATGATACATATCTGATCTCATAGTTGTAGTGGACAAGATAAAAACTTTCCACTACTGACGTGATAGGAGAACCTTACTTACGGTTCTTTGCAACAATCATACATTTATAGAACAATACTTACGATTTTCTCTACCACATAACAATGAGAAGTTTTTGTCCTATCCACTGGGGTTGGAGATCAACTCTATAAAGTGATAAGGTCCAATTTGATGTAAAAGTGAAAAATAGGAAAAAGTTATTAGCTCACGTGCAAAGTTTTTTTTTTTTTTTTTTAAATGAGTTTGAAATTTTTTTTTTTTTAAAATATGCACGGGGCTAAATCTCAAATGTAATGGATATAGTCACGTTTCAAACTTTTTTCTTTTAACATTTATAACTTTAACTGTTGACCCCAAAAAATGAACCAACAGATGTCGAGCCTACTCTCGCCAAGTCAAGTACGATTTCGGCGCGTGCGGCGTTCCTACGAGGATGATGACGGTAGCAAGGGGGAAATAGACACGGAAGGTGCCTTGCGGCGAGAGACGAAATTGTTCGAACTCCGGCGGGTGGAACAAAAGCAATCGCACTAACAACGATTACCGGGTTGAAACCAAAACTAATCTATGTAATCATCAATAGGAATATGTGGAAGGATAGATGAAAATGATAATATATTCCCTTTCAAGGGTTCAAGTATGCTCATTCGAATATAGCACTATCAATCCCTTTTTTCATTCTCTCCCCACCTCCCTTCGTTACAAGGGGAACCTACTTATACTATTTTGGCCGATGTGGTGACCGTTGGATCGGAACCATGTGGCCACATCTTCCTAACTCAGGCTTCACATTACTGTCTATTCTTGCAATTAATACATTGATAAAAAGTCAGCCACTCTATACAAAAGGCTGACACACTGACACTTTATTACAAGTGTTACATCAATCACTTCTGAGAGATCCTCAAATACAAGGCAACAACGTCAGTCTTGTGAGCCTTGGTCTTGTTAGCCTCGGAGGAATTCGAGATGGTTCGCAAGTGGAAGACGTCAGCTTTTTCCCCAACTTCTAGTCACGCAGTGTGAGGACTTCGGACGCTGCGTAAGGATCTCGGCATTTTGACTTCTTTTGTGTGTGTTTGACCTATTGGGTCTTCTTTTGACCTTCTTGTTGACTATCGCCCACGTGTCGTGCCACGTGGCCTTGTTTTACTGGGCTTCGGAATCGAGGGGTAACATTAACCTTTTAATATTGGACGAATTGTATCCGCACCTCAAGAATAAATGTTTATTTAAATATTATATGACTACATAACACATGTAATGTGCAACTAAAAAAGTAAAATTGTCCAAAATAAATTTTCTTTGTTCTAAAATCAAACGAAGAATGTTTAAATAAAAGTAAATATTGCTGTTTTTGAATAATTTTAACCCTTTGAATATCAAATTCTTGTTGCATCTAAATAGATTTTTCGATGAGGTAGAGATGCCAAGTGCATATCCTATGTTTGATTTTCATAAAATTGATAAAATATATCATTGAAAAATTGATAATAGTTGTGGTTATCGTGAGATATGTTCTTAAAATTAATTATTAAATTTTAAATTATTTTTTTATCAACTCTTCTGATTAAAGCAAATATGAAATATTAACATTGGGAACCCCGTAAGAATTTTACCTCTCTTATATCTATTTCCTCATCATACATCAACCAGTGTGGCAGCCACTTTCAAAATCCCACTATATACCACTTCTCTGCCATTATCTCAACCACTCTCCGTCTTCAAAGAAATCACAAAGAGGAGAAAAATTATACTCACAGAAATGGTTTTCTCAACAGTACTCACATCCTCACCTCAACTGTACTTCCCAAAAACTACTTCTCCAATTATCCAAAGAGCAATTCGAACCTGTTCTGCTTCTTTTTCAACAACCCCACAACGAATTTCGAATTCACAATTTGATCTCAGGACTTACTGGACTACTCTGATTCAAGAAATCAATCACAAACTCGATGAGGCAATTCCAGTGCAGTACCCACAACAGATCTATGAGGCCATGCGTCACTCTGTTTTAGCAAAAGGAGTCAAGAGGGCCCCACCTGTCATGTGCGTCGCCGCCTGTGAGCTCTTCGGAGGCCACCGCCTCGCAGCCTTCCCCACCGCCTGTGCTCTAGAAATGGTCCGTTGTTCCTTCCTTTTCTTGATTCAAATTTTTATTCTTTTCGTTCTTTGGCTTCGATTAAATTTACTTATCTGTTTATCTTTGTTTGGATTTTGTAGTGATAAGAGCATGTTTGGCTATGCTTAAATAAGTAACTTGACTTCTTTTTAAGCCAAACGGGGTATCGAATTGTTGGAGATGGACCCAGCTATTCCCCCCTAAATAGGTGATGAACTAAAGAAAGATTTATTAATTCTTATAGCATGCTTTAGTTTTAGTAGCCAAATAATATAAATGGGTATATCAATTGTCTATTAATTATAGTACCTTTCTTGGATTGGAAGATGTCACTGTTTCTGGAATTCTTGGTATTGCGTCTTTGAGTTTTTCTTCAAAGATTAACTTATTTAGCCATGACGTGTATTCAAACCGAGGAAGGATACTGTAGCCATCGCTATTTCCTTTGTCCTTTCACCCATTTTTGCCCTCTCAAGTGGAAGATTCATTAAACTGTGTAACGTTTCCCAGTCATAATATGATATGCTTCCATTAGCAATAAAAAGTAACCTATCCAATGGTATTCAACAGCACGGGATTTGCTTCCTCTTCTAGTATAGGTTTGGGAGCCCTCGGCCGAGCGATAAATATAGATTCTATTCTCATTGAAGATTTAACGGTAGATATGGTTACATTTGTTGAATGTACTGTATGCAGTAAAACTTTGGCGCACTTTTAACTTGGAAAATATATAAGATAAACAAGAGGAAACTCGGAAAATCAATTGGATCAACAGCATCTTCGCGTTAAGAGGCGAAGCACAATGCCAATTCAAGAGAAATTTGTGTGAAATAGGGAAGAGCTAATGCCTTACTTGTTTCCTTCCTATCATGCTCTGTCATTACAAAAAGAACTGAATTGCAGGCTGGATCAGTTATCATGTAGTATGTAATAAGCTTATGAGATCTGCATTTGCTGATATTTTGGATCTAAGTTTTGGAAAATTTTGTATAAAGGATCCTAGGAAAGACATTGCTATTACAATTACGTCTGTTCTTAAAAAGCGTACACAGCTTTAGCGACGGAGACCATTGATTCTTATAATTATTCTCTTATCCTTCATACGCTTGCATTTCAACTAGGTTCATGCTGCTTCATTGATTCATGATGACTTGCCATGCATGGACGATGATCCATCCCGAAGAGGCCAACCTTCCAACCACACAATATTTGGGGTTGATATGGCAATTTTAGCCGGGGATGCCTTGTTCCCTCTTGGTTTCCGCCACATTGTTTCCCACACCCCAACTGATCTGGTCCCCGAGACTCGCCTCTTAAAGGTCATTGCAGAGATTGCTCGAGCAGTGGGATCCACCGGTATGGCTGCTGGTCAGTTTCTTGATCTCGAGGGTGGACCCAATGCTGTTGATTTTGTCCAAGAAAAGAAGTATGGTGAAATGGGTGAATGCTCCGCTGTGTGTGGAGCTCTATTAGCTGGTGCTTCAGATGAGGAGATCCAACGGTTAAGAAGATATGGTCGAGCTGTTGGTGTTTTATATCAAGTGGTGGATGATATGTTGGAAGCAAAACTGGATAAAGATATCAACGGTGATAACAAGAAAAACAAGGGTAAAAGTTATGTCGCAGCATATGGTGTAGAGAAAGCGACGGAGTTGGCTGAGGATCTGAGAGCACAGGCTAAGAAAGAGTTGGACGGCTTAGAGAAGTACGGTGAGAAGGTCGTCCCATTATACAGCTTTGTAGATTATGCTGCTGATAGAGGTTTCAGTGTAGGTGACCAAGCGGAGTAATTAACCTTGGATTTAAATGCCTCTGTATGTTCAGATTGTTTTATATTGATCTCTGATTTCAAGTTAATACCAAAAGGAATATGTTTGAGACACATTTTTCCCCAAACTAGGACAAGGCATTAAGCATTTTACACCTCCATTAAACATCAATGCATAAAGATTTGGGTTACTTTTCTTAGCAATGTTGTCTTTTCAAAATTTGGGTTACTTTTCTTAGCAATGTTGTCTTTTCAAAATGGAATTTCAAATCTTAATAGTTCCTTTTCAAGATGAATTTGCATTGGTTTCGCTCTCTCTATTTATTATTATTATTAGAGGAAATTACACGCAATCAGAATTCTAAAGATTGAATTTCAAAAATCGGATCTAAAATTTATTTGAGCATTGCTAGGGGTACATCACCTCATACATAAGGGTCTACACCCCTTTCACATGAGGGTGAGACTCGCTCGAATAAAAAAATATTATTTCAATGGGTCCCACCCCTCATGTGAGGGGGTATAGACCCTTATGTACAATTCTTGATGTACAACTAGAATAATTTAATTTATTTATACAAAAATCAGATAAATTCAAATTTTTAATAGTAATAATATTCAATATTCTCTCTCTTTCACCTTCTCTCTAAATTATAAGAACACAAACCCTAAGGTCCTGTTCTCTTTGTCGTTTTCCAGC